GAGGCAGGAGCGTGTACGCGATGGCACGAGCATTCTCTGACGCAAATAATGGTTACTACAATCATTTGATTCAACAAAACAAGAAAAAGCACATTAATCAGGCAGGGATGTAAACAAGGGTGGGAAGAAACAATTTAAAGGTAAGGTTATATCGAAGACCTTAATGAAAGGCCTAAACAGATTTCTTTATTACACCTTGATTTTATTACCAGCAGATTGTGTAAATCCCATACTGACAAGTTCCTTTTGTTTAGTCCTCGAAACCGACAACCTACGCCTCGGGACTTAAAGTGGCGAACCACACAGGGTCCCACTAGGTTAGGCGTGGTACTAGGAAGGGAGACAGCAAAGCTGAAACTGTGGCGGGGCTCGAAACTCGAACCACACGGTTCAAAGCTCGCCGGTGACATCGACTAAATCATCAGTGGAAGCCACAAGCAATGCAGCGCACCTCAGAATTTTCTCAACGGTTTTATAAGTGGCTAATGCTGTTCTGAACAATCCATTGAGGTGGATGATTCCCCCACTGCCTGCCCGATGATAGCAGAAAAAACTGTCATGAACCAGCACCATGGCTTTTCAGAAGCTTAAAAGTAAATTGCAACTTGCATCGGCTAAATTCCGTCAACGGTAGTAGGAACCTGCTGGTAGAAATAACAAGAATAGACGAGAATGCGATACCGAGCTCATCGAGAAAGATTAGGGTTGGCACGAGGCATTTAAGCAGGATAGCAATCATATTAAACGTTTTGCTTTGGGAAGCTCACACTGTCTATTGTCATAAATTATAAGAGTAGTATCACATATACTGGCAATGTTTTCTCACTGTGACAGCAGGCATGCTTGTAATCGACGTCAGAAGGTGTTCGAACCGGGGCAGTAAAACATCCAGGTTATTTAATGAATTTTTTTCCATACAGGGTTATTGAAGCATGGAATGAAAACCTGTGAATTGACCTGTCTCATCACCAGCGGGAATAGGTTGGCTCAATGGAAAATTGAATCGGGGGACTAACAGATTGAATGGAAGCATATCCGTAACCATGGGACAATAATGCAGCTGAGCAAACCTTTTTTTCAATTTAACCTACGCAGTCCACGTTTATGGGTTTTTGTTCTGAGTTATACTTCACTCATTTCAGCACTGGCCACCAAGCTCACTCATTCGTTGGGAACATTTCAAACCTGACTAGGTGTGTGTAGTTAAGTTTGGTGAGTTCCCCCCCCCCTCACCGTTTAAGCGCCTAGGCGTCACAGTTTCTGGACGACGAACCACAAGCAAATTGTGCCAACCAGTTAGAAGTCGTGCGGTTCAGGCAGAATCTGTAGGACGTCAAGACTACAAGCAAACCATTGGTGAATACCTGTATACCCAATAAACTTTCTTTGTACATGTTATTTAATCCCCTTGATTTATTTCAATAAATGAACCGCTCCTTCCGTGGCCTTGTTTCTGCGTCTCGGGGACGGGAGATTCCGGTATACACGTGCTGGTGCAACTCAGTGTTTCAGTTGCGTCAGTGATTCGTGATTCCTAATCTATGCCTACTTCAAATACTACAGGAAGATTGTTATCTGTTATGTGCCAATGCATCCTTATGGATAGGTCAAGCTAGTGAGTGCCGCCAACCTAGTCGCGATTAGGAAAAGCTTGCGGTGTGTTGTTGAGCCAATAATCTTGAACATCTGAGGTTCATAAACGAATCCCTCCTGTTTTCAGTTTCGAGTACAGTCGGACTGTGCTCTTAATTCCGTGATCGCGTTTTAAGGAAGAGAAATAGACAAGAGAAGATAATTGTCTTGAAGACCGTTTAAAACGACTTTTACTAAAACGATCCGAAAAAACGTAGCGGGTATATAAAAGAAGCTATCTGGCACCTTTACCCGTCCCCAAATCATGTCTCCAATATGAGATAACTGTAACCTACGAAATTGATGACTTGATGCGCACACACGCATAAAATCAAGTGTTCTACACTTTGTAATACCAGTCTGTCTGTCATCGCGATCCCCTTTAATGCAGGTTTTGAGTCCTGTCACTGCCCCTTTTCAAGCTGATGAATGAACGGCATGTGGGTCAAACGGGTATCGGGTCAGATTCATTGTCCGTTGCAGTTTGAAGGCACGGCCTCAAGGTGTAGAAAAAGCTGCCATTTGATGCTTAAAGACAATACCTGTACTTGATTTCATACAATTTTCAAATGTTGTAAACCAGATATTTTCCAGCCCCCAAATCTAAGAGAGCGTCAGCTGACTTTGCATACGGAAGTCATGTTCCATTAAACCCGAGTCTAATTAACTAGAGTCTTCCGGCTGACCACAAGAATCAAGTTTAGGATGAATCAGGTCAACAAATCGACGGGAAAACTCACGGCATTCGGATCGGGACTCGTCAGATCCGTCAGGGCAATCTGGACGTCTGTCGCAAACAGACGATCGGGGAATACAAGTTCCATCACGACATCGAAACTCGCTTGGACCACAGCCGTCTTCCACTCGAACCAATACTTCTTTGGGTGTACCGTTTACAATGTGACAGCTACCATTTGGCAAAAGGAGTCAGTGTGGAAGAATGAACACTGTCGCAATGTTGTGATTTTGGTAAGAAAATCAGTTAACTATGCATACTGATAAAGAGTCTCCATACCGAGTAAAATAAAGCTATTCGGTTACAAAACGAGAAATTGAGAACAAGGGTTTCACGACTCAAGCCGTTCAGACACAGTTCATCACATACCTGCGACCATTCCACATATCCACACCGCTTCGGTCTCACGTGAAACCGTTCGGTGCCCGTTTGAAGATTCGTACACCAAAATTACATTTCTCGGGTCACTTCATCACTGTTAAACCGCCACATCACATTACTTTTTCTTTAAATCTCTGCACATGCTTGATCTATTACCCTTTTGGCCAGCTCTTGTCTTTTCACACTTTTCACACATCATGCATTTCTCCCATAACCCATTGTAAGATAACACGATTGCCATGACTGATCTGATACACTAGTGGTTACTGTCTGCTCACTGAATCCATCTCTCCCCGATTCTTTGCCTAACGCAGTCTTTCTTGAGATCTTTAAATTGTTCCGATCTGATAACGTCTCAGACGAGCTGTCTATGATGCACTCGTCCGGGAGCCAATCAATCTTTACCCCACCCTCTTCCCTGTTCTTTTTGTGGCAATATTTTTCACAAACCGGTAGACCAATAACGATGCACTGTCGTGAAATGCACGTTTCAGACTTCTATCCAGTCATTGTGTACTACCGATCAGCTTTTTGGCTATCCGTTCCTTGTGCGCGCGGTACGCGAACAGGTCTCCCGTTTAATCGTTCTGAATTAGTGGTTAGCCTATTATTAACGCTAGTCCTTCTGGTCCTGAGTAGTGATTGATACAACTCATGTTGTCTTAGTGTTCATACATGTTCCACCTAATCCACTGTTTCCTCCGCCTTGTTTTCGTTTCCCGTTCGCTCTTGATCGTGCCCGTATCTTTCTGGATAGAATGGACAACTGTCTAACTTACGGTACTTAAGTACTTGAACTTCAGATCAGATTTAGCTCATCTTGCCTAAGTGAAATCTTCTCCGATCGTTTCACTTTGCAAAAAGGTCGTCAAACGGACCGATCGTGAAACAATGATGATCGCATTCAGTTCTCCGCGATGGAGAAAGATCCATAATTTGAATTTCGGTCACATGTTACGCTTAGAGTCCAGCAAAATAACGCACAACGTCAGAAGCATGAAATCACATACACATGAAATCTCCGAAATTAGAATAAATGTTTGGACTTTGTGATCTCTACTCGAAACGGAAAGCACGGAAACATTCATTGGCTTTCCTCAGCCGACCAAATTCATCAGTCATCCGTTCGACACTCACCTGAACAAATGGATACCGGGTTCGGACAGTCCATATGGCGTGTTAACAACCACGCGATCCGTGCTGGGGCGAGACACAGTGAATTGCGCGTACCGTTCCACTGGTTCCCCATCAAAACTGACTTGTGGAGCCACGTCGGGCACGGGCGAGATGCATTCGAACTGAAATGATTCGAACAGTCGCACATTGATTGCTCCGGGTCTGACCGTAACGTCACCACCGATAGCTGTCCGGCGTCGAAATGCGGATGGGAATAGATGAGAATGGGGACAAAAGCTGAGATGAATGCAAGCAATTATATCATATTTCGGAGATGATTCATTTCTATTGGTACCGTTAGTGCGATGAAGCTGAATTTATGCACATGCCATGGAAAAATATAAAATAAGCCGAGTCATTTAAGGTTTTTAGGTTGAGCGACTTAAGAGATCGGCTTTAGAGTTCAATGTTTGAGCTCCATTAGTACCACCGCCTGAATTTAGCGGGAAACAGTCTCATTTTTGCCTCATTCGATCCCACACCTTTCCTGCTGGGTCTTATATCGTTCACTACATCGTAGACTGACAGATCTCATTTATGAAATGCCATTAACTTCAATCAATTTTTTTCAGTTTATAAAATGCAGCGATAGAAAGGTGTATTGTTTCACATGCAGGGCCACGAATTTCGATATATTTTCATCACATATTTATGATATCTATCTGATCACAAGGAAATCAGGACGTGGAATAGGGATGAGCGAGCGCAAGAACCGACCAGTTATCGATTCTTTGTAAGGTAGACGAATGCAGCATTACCTTCGTGATTTAGATTACACTACGCGAGAGAAAGGTAGAGAGGGTAAATAAAGTTCAGATGCGCTGAGATGTGAACAGTTAGGTCGGCGATTGTCGTATTAGACTCATTAGCCGTCTGACAAAGCTACACGAAACACAGATCGACAATAGGTGGTTGTCTAAATCCCCCCAGACTGACCGCAATTTGCTTTCTACTACCGAAGATGGACTCAAACAATGCCCTGCAGGGTGCATGTTCTTCAATAACACTTACAACTTCATTACAAAAAAATGTTGGTCAATCTATGGACTGAATATGCTTTGAGTATACAATGAATCATTTGTTTTCTTTCTTAGAACAATCCAAAGTTAGACTAAACGTGACAACAACCAATGAATTAAACTCACTGCCGCAGATGGCTGGGTCCTCATCCGATCCGTCTGCGCAATCTGGACGACCGTTACAGAAGTAGTGCTCGGGCAGGCATCGACCGTCGCGACATTGTCGCTGTCCGGATGGGCAACGGGTTTGCACACGAACGACAATCTCGCGGCTCAGACCCTCCGCAGTGTAACATCTGGGAAAATCGGAAGGAAATTGAAATGGTTAAATCTGGATACCTAAAGATCAGATGCTCAGTGAAATTTTTGACTTGTTCTGTCTTTCATTATCTACCGGCAAATTGATTGGACACAGAGGTCTCTATATACCTCGAGGCTTTCACCACCGGAAAGTGATAACTGCCCGGGGGTAGTAAGCGTCGCAAGCAGCTAGGTGTGTTCATTTTATATCGTTGTGGTAACGGAGACATTCGGAGACATTTCAAATGGACAGAAATACACCGTATTCCAAATAGAGATCTTACGCGTCCCATTTGTGTCTCAATATGGGCATTTTATCTCAACATTATTCTCAACCTATTCATTATTATACAGCAGTGGAAAGTTACCGGGCTTACACAAGTGATGATGTCAACCACTTTGGACCATTCATTACTGGTAATCGTAAGAAGGTGAATTTCAGGCTCCGCATAAGGCTTATTGAGAAGATGACTGCAGTGGTAGAAAGCCACTTGTACAAGAAGACAGACAGAATCCACTATTGGGCTCATGTCGGGATCGGCAGTCAGCGAGACATGTGCGCACTCATGAAACCTGGTTGGGCTAACACTTCTTCCGTCGAGTAATATGCGTACGTGTATTGTTATGCAGATAGCCAAAGAGAGCAAGAATATACTCGCGTGCAATCAGTATAACTGGAGGGGGGACCGTAAAATTAAGGTATAATGTGTGCTCGTTTGTTTTGGGGTTAAGCAACTCTGTGATTCCCATCCCATTGCTAGCATCCTGAATAGCAGTCACTGGTAGATCAGCGAGGCAGTTTATCGCTTCTTCATTGTGGAACATTGCACCAAAAAGGATCGATTATATTTTTTCATATTCACTGTTTCACTGAATATACAAAATGTAATTTTCAGGTGGGATGAGCGACCAATTAAAGGGAATAGGGTGATGATGGTGAGATTTGAACATACATCCTCAGGAGTGACAATTTGGTGATCAGATTTGAGAAAACTGAAACAAGCCTTTACCGAGATTAATGTGAA